CACGTCCCTCAGTGCCACATCCCCACAGCTCTGGGACACCCCCAGGGGTGGTGACTCCCCACTCCCTGGGCAGCTGTGCCAGTGCTTTTGGGAAAGAAATGTTTCCTAATATCCAACTTGTCTTTGTTGCTTATCCTGTGTGTTATTCAATGTGTTTTCCCAGACCAGGCAAGCAGGACACTGGGGTGACTGCTGTGACAAATGATGTTAACAACGAACGATGCCAACGGGAACATTCTGAATGAGTGAGTGATGGTAAAAGGAGGTGGCAGGGATTTGGTACTTCTAAACAAGAAAAATCATGGAGATGAGATAGAGAATAAGTCTAAGCCTGAAATCTAGGCACATCTTGCACAAATTTCTTCCAAAACCAGCAACAACAACAACAAAAAGTGGGTTTTAGTCCTCTTTGAATCCATCTCCAGTATCACCAGTTAACAAGAGTCATTTTTCAGATACAGTTCTGAAGTGTGGGTCCTGAGCAGACGTGTGTGGCCCGATGCTGGTCTATGCCATGAGCCCCAGCAGGAGACACACTGCTGTCAGCACGGCGCGACCTGACAGCCCTGGGGTGCTGCTGAGAGGGGACAGGGTGGTGAACACAGCATCACTGGCATTCCTGGGCAGCGGCAGGTTGCAGATGGTGCCTTCGCAGCAGGATGTGCAGATCTGAAAGATAACAGGACTGAACTCGGTTACCTGGCAAATATCACTGCCACAAAGGAAAGATGGAGAGCAAATAATACAGCATTTGGAAATCAGCATAGTGGCTAGTGGTTCTTTTATTAGTAGGGCTTGGACTCGGTGATCTTTAGAGGTCCCTTCCAACCCCTACAATTCTGTGATCTCAACCCCTTCTGGTTGTGCAGTAATAATGCACCGCCTAGTGCAAGAACATCCATTCTGCAGGGCTGCTTTTCTCCTCCCCAAAAGTCAGCTGATGATCAAGTAACGATGTTTGGCTGATGAAGGACCAACACTCAAAGAAATCAGCATCTATTCCTATGGAATTGTTGCTGGATGGACTATCAGTTGCATGTTGGTTTTGACCCACTGCAGCAAGGCTGACCACCAGCCTTCAGGAAACGTAGTAATGCATATACCCATCCCATTTTTCACACCCAGCCCCTCTGCTGCCGTGGTTCTGGGGCTCTCTGCACATCTCAGGAAGCAACCAGGGATGTTCAGTGTGCACCAGCTGCCATGCTGCTGGCACAGCCCTGCCTGGTTTCACACGAAGAAGCAACCCTGGTCCTCACCTTGTACTCCTCGTGCTTTACATATGTGCATCCAGTAGACAGACAGTCCTCCAGGGGCACGCAGCGCTTGGTGACAGACACACTCTCTCCAGTAACTCTCATCATGTGTTGGCTGAAGCAGTACCTCGTGCCTAGAAGGAAAGGAAAATGTGTTCACTTGACAAAGCCAAGGCTTGTGGTGGTGTACAAGCAAGAAGAAATAAGGGAGAAACCTTGCACTTCAAAAAAAGAGGATTCTGATGTATTCATTACAATACAATGGGGTGAGCTACCATGTCCAAGCACTAAGACCTCTCTCCAGATCAGCAGTTTTCAGCCAGGTTGGTTCTGATGGTTATTACTAAGTGCAAACACCGGGGCCACGGCTGTCTCCTTCCACAGGGAGCTGCAGGCTCCACATGCTGGTAATGTTGTCTTTAACTGCATGAAACACCACCTACTGCTGTCTAAACAGGGAGTGCCCAGGAACATTGGTCTCATCCCATGCCAACCAGCCTGATCTTTTTTATTATTGTTGACGTTGAACAGATTTGAGCTCTCAAAGCAAATAAATTCTCAAGCAGATAGAGCTCCCTGACAGGCTGCAAGCACAGCTGGTTAGTCTGGAATTCACATTAATGTCTTTTTCCTTCCAAAATAAATATTTTTTGTGAGGACAGTCGTAATATCCTACAGGAGACCAGAACAGTGCCAGACAGAGGCAGAGCAGCAGTGCTGAGCTTATGGAAAGCACTGAAACAAGCCAGCATGGCTCCCACCTGTGACACTGCCCACATGCCCTGCTCATGAACAGGCTCCATCAGTGGATGGGGACAACCCCAATGTCTCTTAACTGAGACAGGGGAGGTTTAGGTTAGATATTAGGAGGGAAATTTTTCACCCAGAGGGTGGTGAGGCACTGTTACAGGTTGCCCAAGGAGGCTGTGGATGCCCCATCCCTGCAGGCATTCAAGGCCAGGCTGGAGGTGGCTCTGGGCAGCCTGGGCTGCTGGTTGGTGACCTGCACACAGCAGGGGGTTGGAACTGGGTGAGCACTGTGCTCCTTTTCATCCCAGGCCATTCTATCATTGCTGATGTCTGGTACCCAACACCCTGAGTCGTCACCATCTATAGACTAGTGAGCATTATGAACCCAAAACAATGCAAAGATTTTGGTGCCATCCAAAAAACAGCAGCTTGGGCTCCCCTGAGGAATGTCACCAAAGCCAGAAGGGCGGGAAGGGAACAGAGGAAGGCCCAGGTCCCGTATAATAGAATCATAGATTCATTAAGGTTGGAAAAGACCTCTAGGATCCCCGAGCCCCACTCCAATCCATTCCACCGTGCCCTATGTCCCTCAGTGCCCAGGACACATCCCCACAGCTCCAGGACATCCCCAGGAACTAAGTGAGCTGGAGAATGATGGGGAGTAGATGGAAGTCCTAAACTTCACCAACTGCAAAGATACATAAAAGCTTAAGGGATTATTTGTATCACTTACACTCCTTCATGTGGCAGAGGCTCACAACCGCTGGCATTTCGGTGTGCTGGAAGCACAGCAGCTCAGGGCTGTCCCTGCAGTTTGACCATGGAGCAGGTGTAGCAAGGTGGGGTGAAGTGGGACACTGCTGTGTGGCTGCTTACCTCTAGGACAATAGACATCCGGAGCCCAGCGGTTGCATTCGTAATTATCTGCTGCCCTTTCGCAGGTGAAACATTTAAATCCGTGAGGAAATGGCGTGGCTGGAAGGAACAAACTGTATTCAGTTAAAATGACCCCATCGATCCCCTTCTGCTGTACTTCTCAAAGGCACATGGCAACGTATTCTTTTTTCAGACGTATCTTATTACAACCATAGCTGCCAGCTCCATCAGGATTAGTCCTGCTTTGTAAGAACCCCGCTACCACTAGCAGCACCAAGAGGGCTCATTCATCTGCAATAAGGGCTCTGTTCAGCTGTGTTTTCCCAGGAAAATTGCCTACTACCCACTTCAAAGGGCACTAACGCAAGCAAGGAGTGCTTGTTCTCTTGGAATCAGAGCTCACATCCAGTACTGTTACTTTACCAGGGTTGATAACAAAATATCAGATGGATTAAGTACTTCTGGACGCTGTCCCACCAAAAAAATAAATGGCCACTGTTGAAGGCAGGCTGATGTCCCCAAAGGAAAGAAAAATCAATCTGCTGAACCTCCAATCATTAACAGCAGCCTCCATCCTCGTTTATCTCACCAAACGAAGAGCACAGCTTCCTAAGTGGTCTCCTGGCAGGGCTTCTGTAGCACATTCAATACATCTTCAAGGTGCTGCCACCATCTCAGAAGGCAGATGGTGACCGGGTCACCTTTATCTCCACGGGGCCAAGCAAGCTGAATCTCTGCAGCTTCGTGAGATACATCTTGCTCCTCACCCAGCACTGGAGTGGTGTGAGCCAGGCCCCATTTGGGTACAGGATGTGGCCTTTGCCATGCAGGAGGGACTTGTCAGCTGTCCTCCATTGCCCAGTCGCTCAGGGTAAGCACCATCAAGGCACTGCGAGCATCTCCAGTGGGGCTGACACAGCACTAAAGGAACAGCCTGGGGGTGGGACCCTGCACACTACTGATGATACTCATGCCTTGCCCTGGGCAGCTAGCAGGTCCTGGTTACAGGTGTAACAGTATTGGAATTTCATCTTGCTGAATTCTGAAAAGACAAGTTTTCTTTGGGAGCAGATGGCAGGCACAGCTCTACAAGCAATCCTGTAGAATTACATTAAAACTTGTACATGATAAAACAAACCAGCTATTAAAAGCACAGTCCATGGAAGCTCTGAAGACACATAACCCCACTACATCATTATTTCCGGCACTTCCTTTAATAATCATGGAGTGTTGGGGTTGGAAAGGAACTTACAGCCCATCCAGCTCCAACCCCCTGCCATGGGCAGGGACATTTCCCAGCAGATCAGGCTGCCCAGGGCACCATCCCATGAGGTTCACATGGGTCCTGCTCTAAAGCCTGTCCATGTCCCTCCAAATGGCATCCCTTCCTTAATAAATAAGTCAGGAATGATTTATAAAAGAGATACACGTGGTCCTACTTCACCCACACTCACAACTATTGACATGCTTGAGCAAAGTACTTGGTCACAGAGGCCAGAAACCCTTGAAGGAAAAAGTAGAGCAACCCTGATGCCCCTGCCCATCAATCCCCCCTGGAAGCCACAGTTTGGTTTCACCCTGCAGGCAGTGCTTACTGGAGGGGTGGAGGTAGACGATGTCCTTCACGGTGAAGTCGCGGGGCTGTGCAGCCCTCAGCCAGCCTGCCACGAGGCCCAGCAGCAGGACGTGGGCCAGCCTGGGCTGCGAGGCCATCACCCACCACGGCCGTGCTCATGCGGTGGCCCTGGGAGCGCAGCAGAGGATGGAAAGCTCACCTGAGGGTGGCAAAAACAAAGAAGTGAGCAGCATGCACGTTGTGGATGGAGCCCGCCTCACCAAACCCCCTGGTCTCAACTAGGCAGCGGTGTTTTCTTCCTCAGAGACACTCGGGAGCCTTCCAGACATGGGCAACCTGCAGTAGGTGGCCCTGCTTGAGCAGGGCTTGGACCAGATGGACCCCGAGGTGCCTCCAACTCCAGTCATCCTGGGGTCACTTTAGCTCTGCTTCCCAGTCTGGATAAAAGGAGCTGCCCAAAAACCCCAGCCTGTAAATAGCAAGGTCTGGGGAGAGCCCAAGGGATTTTTTTTTGTTCTATGATGATGTAATGTTATTTAATAAATCAAACAATTATTCTGGAGAGGTTGTTCAATGGACATGATGCAACCTTCTGCTGCTATCCCCAAACCTTTGTCTGGGAGGGGAATGTTTGCATTTTGTTCAGCACCCACCTGCAACCAGCACTGCAATGGCAACTCAGGGCCTTTCATGCCTTGCTCTTATCTGAAAACAGCTTTTCTATTAAAACACTGTGAAATCCATAAAAATACAGAGGGAAACAGATAACGCACAGTGTGGTGCCTGAACCACTGTTATTTTAACATCACAGAGGAGGAAGTGCCAGTTTCCACTGGGTTTAGTCCACAGGTGTGCATCAGCCAGGGGAAAATGAAATCATCATTAGAAGCAACAGAAATAAAACAAGCCTCTCCCAGCCACATGGAAGCAAAAAGGACGAGGATGAGTTTATGCTCACAAACAAAATAACAAGTAATTGCTCTTTTTTTTTTCTTTTAAGGGAGGCACATATGGGTCACTGTGGACGTGACTTAAAACCTGCAGAATTCCGTGCAGCACCAATTTTCCGTTGCCCTCTTTCTCCCCTCCAAATTACACCATCCTGAATTGCAGTTTGGGGGATTAGTCGCATGGTATTTAGATCATACAGTCTGTTTACCAAAGGTCCGAGGCACTGACACAGAAGCCCCAGTTAACTCAATCTTTCCAGCTTCACCGGCACCTTTCCGATTACTTCTTCCTGCCCTCTGCCCTGACACGCTGTGGTGGAAATTAACCATTGGGTTCCTCAAGCAGCAGCCCAAGGGCTCCTTGTCAGGTCCCATTAGGGCAGTGACATATCGGCCTTGCCAACACCACTGCTGCAGACAACGGGAGGTTCCCACCCCACTGCCTCCCCCTGCTCTGGGAGAGAGATGCTGGGGAAGAAGGCGGCTGGTGTGAGGATGGGTTTGTCTGCTTGGAATTATAGAATCGTAGAATCATTAAGGTTGGAAAGATATTGAGGTTATGGAGTATGTCCAGGGAGAGGCAATGACACTGTGCGGGTTCTGGAGCACCAGTCTTATGGGAAGAGGCTGAAGGAATGGGGTAGTTCAGTATGGAATGGAGGAGGCTCAGGAGAGACCTCATCCCTCCCTACAACTCCTGAAGGGGGGGTGGGCAGCCTCTGCTTCCAGGTGGCAGCGATAGTATGAGAGGTGATGGCCTCACGTTGTGCCAGGGGAGGGTCAGGGTGGGAATGAGGAAGCATTCCTTCTCCAAAGAGCAGTCAGGAAGTGGCACAGCTGCCCAAGGAGTGGGGGTCACCATCCCTGGGGGTGTCCCAGAGCTGTGGGGATGTGGCACTGAGGGATGTGGGCAGTGGGCATGGGGGGTGGGTGGAAGTCTTAGAGGTCTTCTCCAACCTTAATGGTTCTGTGATCATCTAGTCCAACCACAGCCCATCACCACAATACCCACTAAACCACATCTTCCTGCAACCATCCCCTCCTTGCTCTCCAGGCCCCATCTTCAAATTTCTCTTATCTTACATTTCTCTTACGTTACAGCTGTCTTATCTTTCACTTGTAAGATCCTGCATCGCAGTGCCCTAAGGCAATATTTCTGCTGCCAGAGAAATAAAAAAGCAGAACAAGTGAAAGCTCCCTCTCCTCAGCAGGATGCATCAGCTCTGAAGTACAAAGCACAGCGTGTCAAGGCAGCAACATCTGTGAGAGTCTTCAGAAAGCACACTGATGGGATACATGTGCACGGCCAGTGGTACCAACGTGCACCATGCTGAGGTGATGTGTACCAGGGGTAAGCAAAGTCAAAGGAACCACAAGCAGTGCAATGCAGCAAGATCTGATCCTGGATGCAACACAGGCAATTGCTGCACATCAGCAATGGGAGAATTTCCACTACCGAAACTACAACACATGCATTAATTTGTATCTCTACAGCTTTGCAAACTGACCCCCAATCTTCTATCTGTGCAATGTTATCACTGTCTGAAGAGAAATGTGGATGAAAATTACAGCTGCTGTCTGCCCACCAGCACAAGTCAGCACCAGCACCTTGGCTAAGACTGAGGGAATGGCCACATGTGCCATGGTCCATATGGGATGCACACAGCTTCCATCTACAGAACCCGCAGGAGCTCTTGTGAAGGGTTCACTGGTGCTCCTCGATCCCAGCAAGCAAGAGTAATTAAACAATCAAACACAATTAGTGCTCAAATTACTCCCAGAAACGTGGTCAATCTAATCTCCTTGCTGCTAATTACAAAGCCTGGAGTTCATTGAGCTAAAAGCCCGCATCCAGGGGCAGTGCAGAGGGTACAATATGTTCCCTCCCACCCTCTTCCCTCCTATCCAACCCAATCTTTAACTGAAGATGCAAAACCCAGATATTTTCGTTAGATGACCCTCATTGCATGTACCTTAATTGTGACCAAAGGGAGGCTGAAGTTTCAGGACCTCTACAAACAGTTGTTTTAATGAGACGTTATAAAACTTTGCTTATATTCGTGCATCCCCTGATGCTAGTTCAGATTCAAGAAAGAAAGCTGACTTAGCTGTGTTTTAAATGTGTATTTCAGATAATCAGTATTTGACTAAAACAAAAGCTTAAAATTCAGGCAGGTCATAATATTCACCAGAGAAAATACAATTTATGGAAATGAAAATCTGTCAAACTGAGCTGAGAAATTCCTGGTGAGACGCAATTCATTCCCATTTCCCTCCACCACTCACAACTAATTTATATTCTATTCCATGCAATATCCAAGCCTGTGAGTACGGACAATTCTGAACTGGCAGAAAGATGGACAGGAATGGTAAATCAATGTGAGATTTAACCTGCAGTTTTTTGCATGGCAGAAGGGCACCCCGAACCCAACGGATCTGTCCTAATTTGGGAATTCCAGTGGGCGACCTCGCTGCTCCTGGGGCCGGTGCACGGGGCTGACCTCAATGCGTGGCACCCAGACAGCCCGGCTCCACGCGGACGGAGGGAAGGAAACCATGCATGAGCACAGAAATCCTGGGATTTTCCAGCTAATAAAGAAGCAAAAAGGAAAAAAAACCAACCATCCAGCAAGACCTGGCAGCCAGGCCCCTCTGCAAAATGGGGGGCAGAGTTAGAGTGTTAAATTCTCTCCTAAATAAATGCTATATTCGCTGGGGTGGGTGCGAGGGCTCTCGTCTGGGCTGCTGCCTGGCTGGACCATGCACTGGGTAAAGAAAGGGCCCAGCCCCCTAATCTGCTCCAGACAGGCAAACGGGGTAAATTTCTGTATGGCAGCAGCCATTGGGATCACACCAGCCATGTTCTTCCTGTTTGCATTTCAGGTAAGAAAAAAAAAAGAGCAAGTGGGAGCACTGGGGTAGGGGAATGGAAATTCCAGCATGTTGTCAACAGAAAATACTCAAATAAATCAAGAGAGAAGTGAAACAGGAGCACCCAAGAGAATTTAAAATATTAAGGCATTTTCTGAAGGTTACACCTAATAAAGCACAATAGAAACAAAAGAAGCCCAAAGACTCTCATAAATCCACAAAATGCAAGTCATAAAATTGTAAGGGGGGAACCCAAAGCTCCATGAGATAACTGTAAGGACGGATCTGCAGCCTGGACACAGAACTCCTCCCAGCTCAGATTCCCAGTTCAGGCACTGGGAGAACACATCTACAGTAGAGTATTTGGAGGAGCAGCTCACCCCTCTGGTCTCTTAGCTTACATTTGTATTAAACGTGGAGAAGTGGGACAATGCAGGGACCAACAGACACAAAATCTGTGTTTTTACCAGCTCAAAGCAACCATTGCTTTGCCCAAGGCCAGTCTTGGATCGACTCACAGAGCAATTTGTTTGTGCTCCAGCAATGGAAAATTCAGGTTGTAGAAACCTGCGTGAGAGCGGCTGGGAGGATTTGGTAGAAAATAGGTCTCAGACAAACCCATCCGTTTGGGATGGGCAGATTTCAGGTCTGGCAGCGAGAGGAGACGGTTACACGGAGTAATTGGGGAGAGAGCAAAGCAGCAAGCGCCAAGACCTGCTGATCAACGCAGTGAGCTCTGCCCAATTAACAGAGCGTGCTCGGGCAGAATTAAAAAACAGCTCAGTGACATCCCGAAATCTAATTGGGAAAAAAGAGCATCTTCAAAGGAAAGATGCTTATTTTTAACTCTCTCCAGCAGGGTTGGGTGCACCAATCTTGCACCAACAATAAGAAACTTCTCTTGCTCTCTGAGGACACGCAGACTGGCGCAGTGCTAACAGCACAGGAGACGTTACCGTTAAAGAGCGAGCCGCAACGTCTGCCATCGTGCAGCAAACTGTGCCTTAATAAAACCACACATCAATCTGCACCATTGTGTCCTCGCTCTGCTCCTGCCTCCGCCCTCAGATCTTCAGAGCCCGTTGTGACAGTTCTCCTCGTACATCACCTCGCACATTTGACATGCTAGATTAGGCACCGAACTGCGGGCTGCCCAGCATCCACCCAGCGCTGGGATGGAGGGGCTGAGAGATCCGCCCTGAAAACCCGCTGTTGGGGGATGAAGACATTTTTTCTCTCCATTACGAACTAACTCACAGCTCAAGCTTTCCCCCCAAGGAAGGGCTTTTTCACCAAAACCAGTGCAAAAAACGTCT